TTGCGTTTCCACTGCAGTTCAGTACCGCTTTAGAGTGGGCGGGATTATTCACATGTCTTTATAGTTGCGCCGCCCCTATTGCCGCGACTCCTGAAAAAGTTTCATTCCGCGTCGCCCCATCAAGCTCTCACTGGATCCACTCCTCTGCGATCAACAAAAGGAACGTCTGTACTTCCTCAACAGAACAAAACAGCCACTTTTTGGTGGTTAAAAAACGTGCGCTTGTTCAAAACAGTCACGTTCGATCCGTCGCTGGCTGTACTGATTCACTCCTCTGCTATCAACGAGAGGAACGTCTGTACTTCCTCAGACAACAAAACAGCCACTTTTTGGTGGTTAAAAAAGGTGCGCTTGTTCAAAACAGTTGCGTTTGATCCTTCGCTGGCTGTACTGATTTAAATCTAGCAGTTCTGTTGTGTTTGTGTCGCAGGTAGTGACGATTCTCTCAGGCCAATCCGTGATTAGCAGAGTTTACACGTCCCGTTTTGGTAACGGTGCAAAATCCGGAGGGGACGTCGGATGGTGTCACGTAGGGACGTAAAGAAATGTGCCATTAATTGAAACATGTACTAGAACATGTAAAACAGGAAAGGAATATTCTAAAAGCAACTCATGTAAATACCATAATCATAATATTGGCTCATTTACAAAAAGGTAAATTAGGTTACTGATGTCCATGTAAACATAGTTTGTCAAAATGACAGAGATGGCCAATCAAACCTATGAAGGCGGCATTAGCTATTTACAGGGGTGTAAAAAGTACTCAAATTATACTTAAAAAAAAAGAGATACAGTACAGAAAAATGTACAACTTTAAAATTGTACTTTGTGTACTGATGCCAGAAAGCAGTTATGTAAGAAAACGGCCAAATGATACCAAAAAACACCAACTCTTCAATAAAGCAATTCTTTTTATTTTACGTGGTGGTGGGTGGCTGTTGAATGAACAGGGAAAACATGCCATATTAATAAAGCACTGAATTGAAAAGATCTCCAGTAAGCGTTATGCAAAATTCCCATGACCACTTCAATGACCACATCCCTGACAATTTCCCTGACCACATCCCCGACTATTTCCTTGACCACATCCCCGATCATTCCCTTGACCGCTTCTCCGGCCCTCGCCGTGACCGCTTCCCTTGCTGCTTCCCTTGCCGCTTCCATGGCCCCTGCCCTGGCCCCTTCCCTGGCCGCTACCCTGGCCCCGGCCCTGACCGCTTCCCTGGCTGCTTCCCTGAACCTGGCCGCTTCCCTGGCCCTGACCGCTTCCCTGGCCCTGGCCCTGGCCGCTTCCCTGGCCCTGACCGCTTCCCTGGCCCTGGCCCTGGCCGCTTCCCTGACCCTGGCTGGCCCTGGCCTTGGCCTTGGCCGCTTCCCTGACCCTGGCCTCTTCCCTGACCCTGGCCTTGACTGCTTCCCTAACCCTGGCCGCTTCCCTGACCCTGGCCTTGACTGCTTCCCTGGCCGGTTCCCTGACCCTGGCCTTGGCCACTTCCCTGACCCTGGCCGCTTCCCTGGCCTTGACTGCTTCCCTGACACTGGCCGCTTCCCTGACCCTGGCCTTGACTGCTTCCCTGGCCCTGGCCGCTTCCCTGACCCTGACCCTGACCCTGGCCCTGGCCTCTTCCCTGACCCTGGCCCCGTCCCTGGCCCTGCCCCTGTCCGCTTCCCTGGCCCTGGCCCTGTCCGCTTCCCTGGCCCTGGCCCTGACCCTGTCCGCTTCCCCTGGCCTTGACCGCTTCCCTGACCCTGGCCGCTTCCCTGACCCTGGCCTTGGCCGCTTCCCTGGCCACTTCCCTGGCCTTGACTGCTTCCCTGACCGTGGCCGCTTCCCTGACCGCATCCCTCACTACAGTATTTCGCCTCCCTAGGTTGGTAAAAGCAAAATTCACTACATGATATTGGAATATAATAGCAAAGACCCCAAAGGTAGGCAAAGGTAAATAATGTTAAGCTGTTATTAGTACCAAGTTTATGAAACAGAATTGTTTTATTACAAAAATATATACCCAGGAAAGTTAGTTTTAGACAGAAGACAAAAACTTTAATCTAAAATTAGCTAAGTAAAATGTTATATTATAATATATCAGGGTTGCCAACATTGGTTGCCTGGCTGGAGTGAGATACATTAATATATAACACACACAAAAATACACACTGCCCTTTACCCACTCTTTGTCTATAGTGCACATTTTTTAAATGCTTAAAATATTTTCAAAATATTTTAATATTTTTATATTTTTTTAACTCTACAGATGTGCAGTAAAATTCACTTCAAATATTTACTTTTCATTCATGAAGATGAAAAAAAAAATGGCAAATGTGTCTCCTGGTGGAAAACAAAGACTTAAGATGAAAATGACATGAAATTAACATTATAACCAGTAGATGGCAGCAGAGCACCACTCATCAGCTCAGTTGCCATTTCCGCTCCCTAGTTTTTGTGACATCTTGCTTTTGGATTTATTATAAAATTATTATTATACCAATTTTTTGTACTGTTACTGTACTAAAGTATGAATAAATAAGTTAATTATTAATGGTATAATAATTAAATAATGCATTAGGTATTTTATCGGTAATGGTAGAAGCTGATATATATATATATATTCAGCCAACACAGTTTCTGCTGAATTTACTCTGCGTCACTTAATGCACTGCTCTATTTTGACATCAGTTTGTCAGAATTAATTCCGTCCATTGCTACAATATTTATCAATGTCAATCATAGCAATGACTCGCGGAACAATTTAGCAGATCTCACGTAATTTTTTTACATTCGCGTTATTTGTCATCCCTGAAACAGACTAACAAAACTTTTCTTCAAAATTGAAATGGATTATGTGAGAAATTTTTTTCTTGTTATAATGGGAAGATCTGCAAGCACGTAGAACTCCGTAAACTCTGTGAAAACAATTAGTTCAGAGCGGATTATGACTAATCTACAGCAAACACCTCTGATCTGATTTGTGCATGACGCATCGCTATGGAAAAGTATGGACAAGTATAGATTCACGAGTTCACACTTACATATAATGAACTAGGCCGTGAGAAAGTGGAAGGGTTAGTGACATTTAGCGGGACAAGCTGAAATGCCTGGGTAGCCTGCGGTGTTGCCGACTTAGCAATTTGTTGCTAGATTTGGCAACATTAATACGTTTCCGTTGAAAATGCATCTTTTCCTCTTGTTTTGGCCTTCCATCCACGCTAAAACAAATGGCATCAACATCCGTTTATGTCATAACGTCGTTTAACAAACTTAGCCAAACTTAACAAGCCAAGAAAACCTGCTTTTAGCTACTTCACCTGAAATTTATTAATTTGCAACGCGTCCTGCGCCGCTAGCTGAGGCAGCCTCAAAGTCGTCTGCT